AGCCAAGTCACACAGCCTGACCATATAATCTATTTAGTCGCCTCTTACGACCAGCATAGGATGCTGCGGACCTATTCTAACCCGGAATCTGCACAGGTAAATATTAACATTATTTTTTCTCCTTTTCATCAACCATTACAAATAAATAATCTTTAAATCAACAATTATAAACAACACTTTGTACTTTGATAAATCATAAAAAGATACACTTTAATTAAAACATTAAAAAACCTGTTTGCTTTCTTTTTAACAACAATTCTTAATAAAACACTTAACTATTTATGGATTATTCTAAACATTTTGTACTATTTTTTCATCCCTTTAAAACATTCGTATTTCTTATAAAACATTATAAAAAAAACAACATCAAAAGAACCTGTTTTCTTTCTTTTTAACAACAATTCTAAAACAAACTTTTTTCTTTCTTTTTAACAACAATTCTTAGAAAAACACTTAACTATTTATGGATTATTCTAAACATTTTGTACTATTTTTTCATCCTTTTAAAACATTCGTATTTCTTATAAAACATTATATAAAAAACTTTTTTTCAATAAATATATATTTAAAAAAACAGAACTTTTTATGGTCGATTTTAAACAGCCAAGTCACACAGCCTGACCATATAATCTATTTAGTCGCCTCTTACGACCAGCATAGGATGCTGCGGACCTATTCTAACCCGGAATCTGCACAGGTAAATATCAACATTATTTTTTCTCCTTTTCATCAACCATTACAAATAAATAATCTTTAAATCAACAATTATAAACAACACTTTGTACTTTGATAAATCATAAAAAGATACACTTTAATTAAAACATTAAAAATCCTGATTTCTTTCTTTTTAACAACAATTCTAAAAAAAAACTGTTTGCTTTCTTTTTAACAACAATTCTTAAAAAAACACTTAACTATTTATGGATTATTCTAAACATTTTGTACTATTTTTTCATCCCTTTAAAACATTCGTATTTCTTATAAAACATTATAAAAAAACAACATCAAAAGAACCTGTTTTCTTTCTTTTTAACAACAATTCTAAAAAAACCATTTTTCTTTCTTTTTAACAACAATTCTAGAAAAAAACAATTAACTATTTATGGATTATTCTAAACATTTTGTACTATTTTTTCATCCTTTTAAAACATTCGTATTTCTTATAAAACATTATATAAAAAACTTTTTTTTCAATAAATATATATTAAAAAAAACAGAACTTTTTATGGTCGATTTTAAACAGCCAAGTCACAGCCTGACCATATAATCTATTTAGTCGCCTCGTACGACCAGCATAGGATGCTGCGGACCTATTCTAACCCGGAATCTGCACAGGTAAATATCAACATTATTTTTTCTCCTTTTCATCAACCATTACAAATAAATAATCCTTAAATCAACAATTATCAACAACACTTTGTACTTTGATAAATCATAAAAAGATACACTTTAATAAAAACATGAAAAAAAACTGTTTTCTTTCTTTTAAACAACAATTCTAAAAAAAAACACTCAACTCTTTTTGGATTATTCTAAACATTTTGTACTAATTTTTGTTATCCTTTTAACACATTCGTATTTCTTATAAAAATTTATATATAAAAAACATCAAAATAACCTGTTTTCTTTCTTTTTAACAACAATTCTAAAAAAAACTGTTTTCTTTCTTTTAACAACAATTCTTAAAAAAACACTTAACTATTTATGGATTATTCTAAACATTTTGTACTATTTTTTCATCCTTTTAAAACATTCGTATTTCTTATAAAACATTATATAAAAACAACATCAAAAGAACCTGTTTTCTTTCTTTTTAACAACAATTCTAAAAAAACCATTTTCTTTCTTTTTAACAACAATTCTAGAAAAAAACACTTAACTATTTATGGATTATTCTAAACATTTTGTACTATTTTTTCATCCCTTTAAAACATTCGTATTTCTTATAAAACATTATAAAAAAACAACATCAAAAGAACCTGTTTTCTTTCTTTTTAACAACAATTCTAAAAAAAACATTTTTCTTTCTTTTTAACAACATTTCTAGAAAAAAACACTTAACTAACTATGGGTTATTCTAAACATTTTGTACTATTTTTTCATCCTTTTAAAACATTCGTATTTCTTATAAAACATTATATAAAAAACTTTTTTTCAATAAATATATATTTAAAAAAAACAGAACTTTTTATGGTCGATTTTAAACAGCCAAGTCACAAAGCCTGACCATGTAATCTATTTAGTCGCCTCTTACGACCAGCATAGGATGCTGCGGACCTATTCTAACCCGGAATCTGCACAGGTAAATATCAACATTATTTTTTCTCCTTTTCATCAACCATTACAAATAAATAATCTTTAAATCAACAATTATAAACAATACTTTGTACTTTGATTAATCATAAAAAGATTGTTTTTTTTAAAACATCAAAAGAACCTGTTTTCTTTCTTTTTAACAACAATTCTAAAAAAACACTCAACTATTCTAAACATTTTGTACTATTTTTCATTCTTTTAAAAAGTTCGTATTTCTTTTTCTTCCTCCTTTTTTTATCTATAATTATTTAAAAAAGGGAACAATTTATTTGAAGATTCTAAACTTTTGTATCTTTAACAATTATGAACAACATGTTACACTGTTTGTGGACACTTTAAACATTTTGTCACTTTTAGGGAATATTTGTTAATAAAGATTTTTTATCTTTTTATGGATCATTTTAAACATCACACAGCCTGACCAAATGATCCATTTAGTGATAGTTGCCTCTTTTGACCAGCATAGGATGCTGCGGACCTGTTGTAATCTGGTCAAAATGACAACATTTGTAACTTTTTATTAACCATTACAAAACAAATGTGTATTTATCAACGATTATAAACAACATTTTGTACTTTTTATTGCTCATTATAGGGAACATTTTCTTCATTTTATGGATGATTAGGGAAAACTAAATACTTGATGCATTTAATCAACCTGATTTACATTTTGTATTTTTTATGGATCATTATAAACGTTTTGTAATTTTTATCAACAATTATTTAAGAAACAGTTTTTTTTATATATGGAACATTAACAAAAAAACGTATCCTTCATTTTAAACGCTTTGTAATTTAGATTGACAACTATAGAAAAGAAAATGTTTTACTTTTTATGCATTGTAAGTTTGTATTTCTTGTCAATATTATCCAAAAAATAATCTTTTTTATCAACAATTTTATTTAAAAAAACACTAAATTGTTTTTGGATTATGACAAACATTTTGTATTTTTGATGAACCATTATAAAAAGCAACAACGGACTTTCCATACTGATAAGAATTATCGTCCAAAAGCAGAGTCAATTGTACAATTTCGACCATATCATGCGCTTGGAATAACCATCAAATAGTGACGATACCAGTTGTTTGTGAAAAGGTAAGTGTAACCTGGTCCATAGGTGGCACCCACTAAAACACAAGCAAACCAATTGTTCACCTAAAACACCACTGAAACATTGTACAAGTCAAAATAGTGAACTCCTTCAGACATCAATTTGTTCACTGATACGTCAAATTGGAAATGTGCTCCACATGTCTATCATAAACATTTTGAAAGCTTCACTTAGGCATTGAATGCTGTAACCCTGATCAAACAACTTTTGAGTTGTGTGACGCTCTTTGAAATCTGCATAGAAAGAGCATGTTTGATTGTACCTCAAAAGTAGTGAAATGACACCAAAGGCTGGAGTCGCTGGAATATTGCTCTATAAAACTGACAATTGGAAAGTTAAAGTCATCCCTCCCTGTCACTCTGAGTCCTTATACACAGATCTAAATATGAAACAGATGAGGTGGTTCCACTGGCTCCTTTATTTCTGGTTCAGGTGGTAAATCAGTGACTTTTTCACCATTATTTAAAGATATCAGATCATCAATATACCTGAAGCTTAATTCAAAAACTTCTTGGCCAAATTCCCTTTTTTGATTTTGCCAATCCGAAAGGAACTTTGACTTTTGTGTATACAGAAAAAGATCAGCAATTGGTGCCCATGGGGATGCCTTCTTCTCATCTAAATGTCCTACCCATCACTTTCACAAAAAACAATATGTAAGATGCTGGAGTTATTCATAGAGGTATCTCTATGAATAACTCCAGCATCTCACATATTGTTTTTTCAGTAAACTTCAATTGACAAATTCGTCCTGAACTTTTGAAGACAGAGATGTTACTACATATCAATGGTACCCACCTTTAGTGCCAAACACCCGATGGATCAAGGAATAATGTTTTTCTGTCCCTCTGTCGTGTGCGGGTGTTCAAAGTTGTGTACAAAGTCGAACAATCAAAAATTTTAACACAAAACTGAACAAGACTGCAAAAATTAAAGCAAATCCTTGGAAGTTTTTGAGAATCCACATGAAAAACTAAAACACAAATCTAAAATAGAAGGGAGATCAAAATTATCATTCTTATTGGTACAGTAAAATTCCAAGGGGCACAATCATGAGTGCAAAACATTTCTTTCCCTCTACTACATATAGACAAGGTAACACCTTGTGAAACAGGTTCAAAACACACATAAAGTACAGGTTATCACCCCAGTGAAAACCTGACATGTATATATAGAGATCTCAGACAACAGGAGTAATTTTAAATAATTTGGAGATAACATATTTTTATAAGATAAATATGAGACAAGATATTACAGTGGTTCAATGTTGAACATGATGAAAATGTGTGAAGTCAATTCTTGGTCTTCCCTAAAATTATACTGCCTGATTATTGCCAAAACATACTTAAATCATACCTACTTACTCACTCACTCACTTTCATCCACACAATGACTCACTCACACGCAAGAACTGTCATCAGAACAGTAGTAATTTCTTTTTTACAATACTTATTTACACACTACATATAGTACCGGTACATTTATAAACAGTACATATTCTGTATGATGTATGTTGAAATGCTTCAAAAGTACATACATTCCTTGTAAGCATGAGATGCAGCACTTGATATTCTCAACTCTCTGTTCCAACTTCAATTGCATCATAAAGGGTCCCCAAGACACTGATGGTAACATCTTGCAGAAGTTAGGTTGCTCAAGTCTGTGAAACCCTCCAAATGCTGCAATCGCTGATAAGCCCTAACAAAGAGAGGTAGAAACTCACTTTATCAAGTATTCAACTGGAATGTGGAAGAATATCACAAACTACATTTAGCTTTGACAAAGTATTCCATCTCACTATCTTATCTGAACACAGATCAACAGATGTTTAGAGCATGTCATACAGCTCCTAGTGAGGGACATGACATTGTGTTGCCATTACCTAGATGTTTACAGTGTGTCCTTCAGGGAGGCACATATATTGCCATTATGTGCATGATTAGAGTGTGATGTCGAACTCTGGTGAGAGTCAAGTCAAGGTATTGCCGGAACATATTGTCTCATTTGGAGGGACATTACTGATATTATTGACATTACCTAAATGTTTAGAACACGTTGTCATGGTCCTAGTTGAGGGACATGTATTGCCATTACCTGGAAGTTTAGAACATGTTGTCCAGGTCAGAGGTGAGGGACATGTATTGCCATTACCATGATGTTTAGAACATATTGTCCAAGTAGAGATGAAGACATGTATTGACATTACCAGTATGTTTAGAACATGTTGTCCAGGTAGAGGTGAGGGACATGTATTGACATAACCAGGATGTTTAGAACATGTTGTCCTGGTAGAGGTGAGGGACATGTATTGACATTACCATGATGTTTAGAACATGTTGTCCAGGTAGAGGTGAGTGACATGTTTTGACATTACCAGTATCTTTAGAACATGTTGTCCTGCTAGAGGTGAGGGACATGTATTGACATTACCAGGATGTTTAGAACATGTTGTCCAGGTAGAGGTGAAGACATGTATTGACATTACCAGTATGTTTAGAACATGTTGTCCTGGTAGAGGTGAGGGACATGTATTGACATTACCAGGATGTTTAGAACATGTTGTCCAGGTAGAGGTAAGGGACATGTATTGACATTACCGAGTGTTTAGAACATGCTGTCCAGGTCTGAGGTAAGAAGATGTATTGACGTTACCAGGATACTTAGAGCATGTCGTTCAGATGTGTGACATGTATTGTCAGTACCTGAATGTTCAGAATGCGTTGTCAAGTTCTGAGATGAGAAACATGTATTGTCATTACCTGGATGTTTAGAGAGTGTCATCCATCTCTGATGTGAGAGAGGCCTTGAAGGTGAGTCTGACAGCAAATTCCACAACTGAAATGAAGACAATGAATAAGAAACAGTTCAAACAATATATATATATATATGTATCACTCATTCAAGTTCAGGGTATTCATGGTTATAGGGTCACATACAAGAGGAAGATGACTATAGGGCTACCCTGTACCAGAGTTCATTCACAATATGAAGAAGAAAAGTGTTAAAATTGCTCAATATTTTGGAAGGTTTAGTTGGAAAAGTGAGGAGGCAGGGTGGACAGGTGTGGGAGACAGGGTGGGCAGGTGTGGGAGACAGGTTGGACAGGTGTAGGAGACAGGGTGGACAGGTGCAGGAGACAGGGTGGACAGGTGCAGGAGACAGGGTGGACAGGTGTGGGAGACAGGGTGGGCAGGTGTGGGAGACAGGGTGGGCAGGTGCAGGAGACAGGGTGGACAGGTGTGGGAGACAGGGTGGACAGGTGCAGGAGACAGGGTGGGCAGGTGTGGGAGACAGGGTGGACAGGTGCAGGAGACAGGGTGGGCAGGTGTGGGAGACAGGGTGGGCAGGTGTGGGAGACAGGTTGGACAGGTGTAGGAGACAGGGTGGACAGGTGCAGGAGACAGGGTGGACAGGTGTTGGAGACAAGGTGGACAGGTGTGGGAGACAGGGTGGGCAGGTGTGGGAGATAGGGTGGACAGGTGCAGGAGACAGGGTGGGCAGGTGCAGGAGACAGGGTGGGCAGGTGTGGGACACAGGGTGGACAGGTGTAGGAGACAGGGTGGGCAGGTGTGGGAGACAGGGTGGACAGGTGTGGGAGACAGGGTGGGCAGGTGTGGTAGACAGGGTGGGCAGGTGTGGGAGACAGGGTGGACAGGTGCAGGAAACAGGGTGGGCAGGTGTGGGAGACAGGGTGGACTGGTGCAGGAGACAGGGTGGGTAGGTGTGGGAGACAGGGTGGACAGGTGTAGGAGACAGGGTGGGCAGGTGTGGGAGACAGGGTGGACAGGTGCAGGAGACAGGGTGGGCAGGTGTGGGAGACAGGGTGGACAGGTGTTGAAGACAGGGTGGACATGTTCAGGAGACAGGTTTGACAGGTGTGGGAGACAGGGTGGACAGGTGTTGAAGACAGGGTGGACATGTGCAGGAGACAGGTTTGACAGGTGTAGGAGACAGGGTGGACAGGTGCAGGAGACAGGGTGGACAGGTGCAGGAGACAGAGTGGGCAGGTGCAGGAGACAAGGTGGACAGGTGCAGGAGACAGAGTGGACAGGTGCAGGAGACAGGGTGGACAGGTGCAGGAGAGAGAGTGGGCAGGTGCAGGAGACAAGGTGGACAGGTGTAGGAGACAGAGTGGACAGGTGCAGGAGACAGGGTGGACAGGTGTGGGAGACAGGGTGGACAGGTGTTGAAGACAGGGTGGACATGTGCAGGAGACAGGTTTGACAGGTGTAGGAGACAGGGTGGACAGGTGCAGGAGACAGGGTGGACAGGTGCAGGAGACAGGGTGGGCAGGTGCAGGAGACAGGGTGGACAGGTGCAGGAGACAGGGTGGGCAGGTGCAGGAGACAGGGTGGGAAGGTGCAGGAGACAGGGTGGACAGGTGCAGGAGACAGGGTGGGCAGGTGCAGGAGACAGGGAGGGCAGGTGTGGGAGACAGGGTGGACAGGTGCAGGAGACAGGGTGGATAGGTGTAGATGACAATGTGTGAAGTCAATTCTTGGTCTTCCCTAAAATTATACTGCCTGATTATTGCCAAAACATACTTAAATCATACCTACTTACTCACTCACTCACTCACTCACTTTCTACCACACAATGACTCACTCACACGCAAGAACTGTCATCAGAAAAGTAGTAATTTCTTTTTTACACTACTTTTTTACACACTACATATAGTACCGGTACATTTATAAACAGTACATATTCTGTGTGATGTATGTAGAAATGCTTCAAAAGTACATACGTTCCTTGTAAGCATGAGATGCAGCACTCCTTGATATTCTCAACTCTCTGTTCCAACTTCAATTGCATCATAAAGGGTCCCCAAGACACTGATGGTAACATCTTGCAGAAGTTAGGTTGCTCAAGTCTGTGAAACCCTCCAAATGCTGCAATCGCTGATAAGCCCTAACAAAGAGAGGTAGAAACTCACTTTATCAAGTATTCAACTGGAATGTGGAAGAATATCACAAACTACATTTAGCTTTGACAAAGTATTCCATCTCACTATCTTATCTGAACACAGATCAACAGATGTTTAGAGCATGTCATACAGCTCCTAGTGAGGGACATGACATTGTGTTGCCATTACCTAGATGTTTACAGTGTGTCCTTCAGGGAGGCACATATATTGCCATTATGTGCATGATTAGAGTGTGATGTCGAACTCTGGTGAGAGTCAAGTCAAGGTATTGCCGGAACATATTGTCTCATTTGGAGGGACATTACTGACATTATTGACATTACCTAAATGTTTAGAACACGTTGTCATGGTCCTAGTTGAGGGACATGTATTGACATTACCAGGATGTTTAGAACATGTTGTCCAGGTCGGAGGTGAGGGACATGTATTGACATTACCATGATGTTTAGAACATGTTGTCCAGGTAGAGTTGAGTGACATGTATTGACATTACCAGGATGTTTAGAACATGTTGTCCAGGTAGAGATGAAGACATGTATTGACATTACCAGTATGTTTAGAACATGTTGTCCAGGTAGAGGTGAAGACATGTATTGACATTTCTATGATGTTTAGAACATGTTGTCCAGGTAGAGATGAAGACATGTATTGACATTACCAGTATGTTTAGAACATGTTGTCCTGGTAGAGGTGAAGACATGTATTGACATTACCAGTATGTTTAGAACATGTTGTCCAGGTAGAGGTGAAGACATGTATTGACATTTTTATGATGTTTAGAACATGTTGTCCAGGTAGAGATGAAGACATGTATTGACATTACCAGTATGTTTAGAACATGTTGTCCTGGTAGAGGTGAAGACATGTATTGACATTACCAGTATGTTTAGAACATGTTGTCCAGGGAGAGGTGAAGACATGTATTGACATTTTTATGATGTTTAGAACATGTTGTCCAGGTAGAGATGAAGACATGTATTGACATTACCTAAATGTTTAGAACATGTTGTCCTGGTAGAGGTGAAGACATGTATTGACATTACCAGTATGTTTAGAACATGTTGTCCAGGTAGAGGTGAGGGACATGTATTGACATTACCAGGATGTTTAGAACATGTTGTCCAGGTAGAGGTGAGGGACATGTATTGACATTACCAGGATGTTTAAACCTGCTGTCCAGGTGGCGGTGAAGACATGTATTGACATTACCAGGATGTTTAGAACATGTTGTCCAGGTAGAGGTGAAGACATGTATTGACATTACCAGTATGTTTAGAACATGTTGTCCAGGTAGAGGTGAAGACATGTATTGACATTACCAGTATGTTTAGAACATGTTGTCCAGGTAGAGGTGAAGACATGTATTGACATTACCAGTATGTTTAGAACATGTTGTCCTAGTAGAGGTGAGGGACATGTATTGACATTACCATGATGTTTAGAACATGTTGTCCAGGTAGAGGTGAGGGACATGTATTGACATTACCAGGATGTTTAGAACATGTTGTCCAGGTAGAGGTGAGGGACATGTATTGACATTACCAGGATGTTTAGAACATGCTGTCCAGGTCTGAGGTAAGAAGATGTATTGACGTTACCAGGATACTTAGAGCATGTCGTTCAGATGTGTGACATGTATTGTCAGTACCTGAATGTTCAGAATGCGTTGTCAAGTTCTGAGATGAGAAACATGTATTGTCATTACCTGGATGTTTAGAGAGTGTCATCCATCTCTGATGTGAGAGAGGCCTTGATGGCGAGTCTGACAGCAAATTCCACAACTGAAATGAAGACAATGAATAAGAAACAGTTCAAACAATATATATATATATATGTATCACTCATTCAAGTTCAGGGTATTCATGGTTATAGGGTCACATACAAGAGGAAGATGACTATAGGGCTACCCTGTACCAGAGTTCATTCACAATATGAAGAAGAAAAGTGATAAAATTGCTCAATATTTTGGAAGGTTTAGTTGGAAAAGTGAGGAGGCAGGGTGGACAGGTGCAGGAGACAGGGGGGGCAGGTGTAGGAGACAGGTTGGGCAGGTGTAGGAGACAGGGTGGACAGGTGCAGGAGACAGGGTGGGCAGGTGTGGGAGACAGGGTGGGCAGGTGTTGGAGACAAGGTGGACAGGTGCAGGAGACAGGGTGGGCAGGTGTTGGAGACAGGGTGGACAGGTGTAGGAGACAGGGTGGGCAGGTGTGGGAGACAGGGTGGGCAGGTGTTGGAGACAAGGTGGACAGGTGCAGGAGACAGGGTGGGCAGGTGCAGGAGACAGGGTGGACAGGTGTTGGAGACAAGGAGGACAGGTGCAGGAGGCAGGGTGGACAGGTGCAGGAGGCAGGCTGGACAGGTGTAAGAGACAGGGTGGGCAGGTGTTGGAGACAAGGTGGACAGGTGCAGGAGACAGGGTGGGCAGGTCCAGGAGACAGGGTGGACAGGTGTTGGAGACAAGGTGGACAGGTGCAGGAGGCAGGGTGGACAGGTGCAGGAGGCAGGCTGGACAGGTGTAAGAGACAGGGTGGGCAGGTGTTGGAGACAGGGTGGGCAGGTGTAGGAGACAAGGTGGACAGGTGCAGGAGACAGGGTGGACAGGTGCAGGAGACAGGGTGGGCAGGTGTTGGAGACAGGGTGGACAGGTGTAGGAGACAGGGTGGACAGGTGCAGGAGACAGGGTGGGCAGGTGTTGGAGACAGGGTGGACATGTGTAGGAGGCAGGGTGGACAGGTGCAGGAGGCAGGGTGGACAGGTGTAAGAGACAGGGTGGGCAGGTGTTGGAGACAGGGTGGACATGTGCAGGAGACAGGGTGGACAGGTGCAGGAGACAGGTAGGACAGGTGGAGGAGACAGGGTGGACAGGTGCAGGAGACAGGGTGGGCAGGTGTAGGAGACAGGGGGGCAGGTGTAGGAGACAGGGTGGACAGGTGTGCGAGACAGGGTGGACAGGTGTTGGAGACAGGGAGGACATGTGTTGAAGACAGGGTGTGCAGGTGCAGGAGACAGGGTGGACAGGTGTTGGAGACAGGGTGGACAGGTGCAGGAGGCAGGGTGGACAGGTGTAAGAGACAGGGTGGGCAGGTGTTGGAGACAGGGTGGACATGAGCAGGAGACAGGGTGGAAAGGTGCAGGAGACAGGTAGGACAGGTGCAGGAGACAGGGTGGACAGGTGCAGGAGACAGGGTGGGCAGGTGTAGGAGACAGGGGGGCAGGTGTAGGAGACAGGGTGGACAGGTGTTGGAGACAGGGTGGACAGGTGTAGGAGACAGGGTGGGCAGGTGTGGGAGACAGGGTGGGCAGGTGTTGGAGACAAGGTGGACAGGTGCAGGAGACAGGGTGGGCAGGTGCAGGAGACAGGGTGGACAGGTGTTGGAGACAAGGTGGACAGGTGCAGGAGGCAGGGTGGACAGGTGCAGGAGGCAGGCTGGACAAGTGTAAGAGACAGGGTGGGCAGGTGTTGGAGACAATGTGGACAGGTGCAGGAGACAGGATGGACAGGTGCAGGAGACAGGGTGGACAGGTGTAGGAGACAGGGTGGACGGGAGCAGGAGACAGGGTGGACAGGTGCAGGAGGCAGGCTGGACAGGTGTAAGAGACAGGGTGGGCAGGTGTTGGAGACAGGGTGGGCAGGTGTAGGAGACAAGGTGGACAGGTGCAGGAGACAGGGTGGACAGGTGCAGGAGACAGGGTGGGCAGGTGTTGGAGACAGGGTGGACAGGTGTAGGAGACAGGGTGGACAGGTGCAGGAGACAGGGTGGACAGGTGTAGGAGACAGGGTGGACAGGTGTAGGAGGCAGGGTGGACAGGTGCAGGAGGCAGGGTGGACAGGTGTAAGAGACAGGGTGGGCAGGTGTTGGAGACAGGGTGGACATGTGCAGGAGACAGGGTGGACAGGTGCAGGAGACAGGTAGGACAGGTGGAGGAGACGGGGTGGACAGGTGCAGGAGACAGGGTGGGCAGGTGTAGGAGACAGGGGGGCAGGTGTAGGAGACAGGGTGGACAGGTGTTGGAGACAGGGTGGACAGGTGTTGGAGACAGGGAGGACATGTGTTGAAGACAGGGTGGGCAGGTGCAGGAGAAAGGGTGGACAGGTGTTGGAGACAGGGTGGACAGGTGCAGGAGGCAGGGTGGACAGGTGTAAGAGACAGGGTGGGCAGGTGTTGGAGACAGGGTGGACATGTGCAGGAGACAGGGTGGACATGTGCAGGAGACAGGTAGGACAGGTGCAGGAGACAGGGTGGACAGGTGCAGGAGACAGGGTGGGCAGGTGTAGGAGACAGGGGGGCAGGTGTAGGAGACAGGGTGGACAGGTGTTGGAGACAGGGTGGACAGGTGTAGGAGACAGGGGGGCAGGTGTAGGAGACAGGGTGGACAGGTGTTGGAGACAGGGTGGACAGGTGTAGGAGACAGGGTGGGCAGGTGTGGGAGACAGGGTGGGCAGGTGTTGGAGACAAGGTGGACAGGTGCAGGAGACAGGGTGGGCAGGTGCAGGAGACAGGGTGGACAGGTGTTGGAGACAAGGAGGACAGGTGCAGGAGGCAGGGTGGACAGGTGCAGGAGGCAGGCTGGACAAGTGTAAGAGACAGGGTGGGCAGGTGTTGGAGACAATGTGGACAGGTGCAGGAGACAGGGTGGGCAGGTGCAGGAGACAGGGTGGACAGGTGTTGGAGACAAGGTGGACAGGTGCAGGAGGCAGGGTGGACAGGTGCAGGAGGCAGGCTGGACAGGTGTAAGAGACAGGGTGGGCAGGTGTTGGAGACAGGGTGGGCAGGTGTAGGAGACAAGGTGGACAGGTGCAGGAGACAGGGTGCACAGGTGCAGGAGACAGGGTGGGCAGGTGTTGAAACAGGGTGGACAGGTGTAGGAGACAGGGTGGACAGGTGCAGGAGACAGGGTGGGCAGGTGTTGGAGACAGGGTGGACAGGTGTAGGAGGCAGGGTGGACAGGTGCAGGAGGCAGGGTGGACAGGTGTAAGAGACAGGGTGGGCAGGTGTTGGAGACAGGGTGGACATGTGCAGGAGACAGGGTGGACAGGTGCAGGAGACAGGTAGGACAGGTGGAGGAGACAGGGTGGACAGGTGCAGGAGACAGGGTGGGCAGGTGTAGGAGACAGGGGGGCAGGTGTAGGAGACATGGTGGACAGGTGTTGGAGACAGGGTGGACGGGAGCAGGAGACAGGGTGGACAAGTGCAGGAGACAGGGTGGACAGGTGCAGGAGACAGGGTGCACATGTGCAGGAGACAGGTTGGACAGGTGTTGGAGACAGGGAGGACATGTGTTGAAGACAGGGTGGGCAGGTGCGGGAGACAGGGTGGACAGGTGTTGGAGACAGGGTGGACAGGTGCAGGAGGCAGGGTGGACAGGTGTAAGAGACAGGGTGGGCAGGTGTTGGAGACAGGGTGGACATGTGCAGGAGACAGGGTGGACAGGTGCAGGAGACAGGTAGGACAGGTGCAGGAGACAAGGTGGACAGGTGCAGGAGACAGGGTGGGCAGGTGTAGGAGACAGGGGGGCAGGTGTAGGAGACAGGGTGGATAGGTGTTGGAGACAGGGTGGACGGGAGCAGGAGACAGGGTGGACAAGTGCAGGAGACAGGGTGGACAGGTGCAGGAGACAGGGTGCACATGTGCAGGAGACAGGGTGGACAGGTGTTGGAGACAGGGAGGACATGTGTTGAAGACAGGGTGGGCAGGTGCAGGAGACAGGGTGGACAGGTGTTGGAGACAGGGTGGACAGGTGTAGGAGACAGGGTGGACAGCAGCAGGAGACAGGGTGGACAGGTGTTGGAGACAGGGTGGACAGGTGCAGGAGACAGGTAGGACAGGTGCAGGAGACAAGGTGGACAGGTGCAGGAGACAGGGTGGGCAGGTGTAGGAGACAGGGGGGCAGGTGTAGGAGACAGGGTGGATAGGTGTTGGAGACAGGGCGGACGGGAGCAGGAGACAGGGTGGACAAGTGCAGGAGACAGGGTGGACAGGTGTAGGAGACAGAGTGGGCAGGTGCAGGAGACAGGGTGGACAGGTGTTGGAGACAGGGTGGACAGGTGTAGGAGACAGGGTGGACAGCAGCAGGAGACAGGGTGGACAGGTGTTGGAGACAGGGTGGACGGGAGCAGGAGACAGAGTGGACAGGTGTGCCAGGATGTTTAGAACATGTTGTCCAGGTAGAGGTGAAGACATGTATTGACATTACCAGGATGTTTAGAACATGTTTTCCAGGTAGAGGTGAGTGACATGTATTGACATTACCAGGATGTTTAGAACATGCTGTCCAGGTAGAGGTGAGGGACATGTATTGACATTACCAGGATGTTTAGAACATGTTGTGAAGGTAGAGGTGAAGACATGTATTCACATTACCAGGATGTTTAGAACATGCTGTCCAGGTAGAGGTGAGTGACATGTATTGACATTACCAGGATGTTTAGAACATGCTGTCTAGGTTGAGCTTAGGGACATGTATTGACATTACCAGGATGTTTAGAACATGTTGTGAAGGTAGAGGTGAAGACATGTATTCACATTACCAGGATGTTTAGAACATGCTGTCCAGGTAGAGGTGAGGGACATGTATTGACATTACCAGGATGTTTAGAACATGATGTCCAGGTCTGAGGTGAATACATGTATTGACATTACCAGGATGTTTAGAACATGCTGTCCAGGTAGAGATGAGGGACATGTATTGACATTATCAGGATGTTTAGAGCATGTTGTTCCAGGTAGAGGTGAGGGACGTGTATTGACATTACCAGGATGTTTAGAACATGCTGTCCAGGTTGAGGCTAGGGACGTGTATTGACTTTACCAGGATGTTTAGAACATGCTGTCCAGGTTGAGGTTAGGGACATGTATTGACATTACCAGGATGTTTAGAACATGTTATAAAGGTAGAGGTGAAGACATGTATTGACATTTGCAGGATGTTTAGAACATGTTGTCCAGGTAGAGTTGAGGGACATGTATTGACATTACCAGGATGTTTAGAACATGTTGTCCAGGTAGAGGTGAGTGACATGTATTGACATTACCAGGATGTTTAGAACATGCTGTCCAGGTAGAAGTGAGTGACATGTATTGACATTACCAGGATGTTTAGAACATGTTGTCCAGGTAGAGGTGAGTGACATGTATTGACATTACCAGGATGTTTAGAACATGCTGTCCAGGTAGAGGTGAGTGACATGTATTGACATTACCAGGATGTTTAGAACATGCTGTCAAGGTAGACGTGAGGGACATGTATTGACATTTCCATGATGTTTAGAACATATTGTCCAGGTAGAGGTGAGTGACATGTATTGAAATTACCAGGATGTTTAGAACATGTTGTCCTGGTAGAGGTGAAGACATGTATTGACATTACCATGATGTTTAGAACATGCTGTCCAGATTGAGCTTAGGGACATGTATTGACATTACCAGGATGTTTAGAACATGTTGCCCAGGTAGAGGTGAAGACATGTATTGACATTACCAGGATGTTTAGAACATTCTGTCCAGGTCTGAGGTGAAGACATGTATTGACATTACCAGGATGTTTAGAACATGCTGTCCAGGTAGAGGTGAGGGACATGTATTGACATTATCGGGATGTTTAGAACATGTTGTCCAGGTAGAGGTGAGGGACGTGTATTGACATTACCAGGATGTTTAGAACATGCTGTCCAGGTCTGAGGTAAAGACATGTATTGACATTACCAGGATGTTTAGAACATGCTGTCCAGGTAGAGGTGAGGGACATGTATTGACATTATCGGGATGTTTAGAACATGCTGTCCAGGTAGAGGTGAGGGACGTGTATTGACTTTACCAGGATGTTTAGAACATGCTGTCCAGGTTGAGGTTAGGGACATGTATTGACATTACCAGGATGTTTAGAACATGTTATAAAGGTAGAGGTGAAGACATGTATTGACATTTGCAGGATGTTTAGAACATGTTGTCCAGGTAGAGTTGAGGGACATGTATTGACATTATCAGGATGTTTAGAACATGTTGTCCAGGTAGAGGTGAGGGACGTGTATTGACATTACCAGGATGTTTAGAACATGCTGTCCAGGTTGAGGTTAGGGACATGTATTGACATTTCCAGGATGTTTAGAACATGTTGTCCACGTAGAGGTGAAGACATGTATTGACATTACCAGGATGTTTAGAACATGTTGTCCAGGTAGAGGTGAGTGACATGTAATGACATTAACAGGATGTTTAGAACATGCTGTCCAGGTAGACGTGAGTGACATGTATTGACATTACCAGGATGTTTAGAACATGTTGTCCAGGTAGAGGTGAGGGACATGTATTGACATTACCAGGATGTTTAGAACATGTTGTCCAGGTAGAGGTGAAGACATGTATTAACAGTACCGGGATGTTTAGAACATGTTGCCCAGGTAGAGGTGAGTGACATGTATTGACATTAACAGGATGTTTAGAACATGCTGTCCAGGTAGACGTGAGTGACATGTATTGACATTACCAGGATGTTTAAAACATGCTGTCCAGGTAGAGGTGAGTGACATGTATTGACATTACCATGATGTTTAGAACATGTTGTCCATGTAGACGTGAGTGACATGTATTGACATTACCAGGATGTTTAGAACATGTTGTCCAGGTAGAGGTGAGTGACATGTATTGACATTACCAGGATGTTTAGAACATGTTGTCCAGGTAGAGGTGAGGGACATGTATTGACATTACCAGGATCTTTAGAACATGTTGTCCAGGTAGAGGTGAGTGACATGTATTGACATTACCAGTATGTTTAGAACATGTTATAAAGGTAGAGGTGAAGACATGTATTGACATTAACAGGATGTTTAGAACATGTTGAACAGGTAGAGGTGAGTGACATGTATTGACATTACCAGGATGTTTAGAACATGCTGTCCAGGTAGAGGTGAAGACATGTATTGACATTACCAGGATGTTTAGAACATGTTGTTCAGGTAGAGGTGAGGGACATGTATTGACATTACCAGGATGTTTAGAACATGTTGTCCAGGTAGAGGTGAGGGACATGTATTGACATTACCAGGATGTTTAGAACATGCTGTCCAGGTAGAGGTGAGTGACATGTATTGACATTACCAGGATGTTTAGAACATGTTGTCCAGGTAGAGATGAGGGACAAGTATTGACATTACCAGTATGTTTAGAACATGCTGTCCAGGTCTGAGGTAAGAAGATGTATTGACGTTACCAGGATACTTGGAGCATGTCGTTCAGATGTGTGACATGTATTGTCAGTACCTGAATGTTCAGAATGCGTTGTCAAGTTCTGGGATGAGAAACATGTATTGTCATTACCTGGATGTTTAGAGAGTGTCATCCATCTCTGATGTGAGAGAGGCCTTGATGGCGAGTCTGACAGCAAATTCCACAACTGAAATGAAGACAATGAATAAGAAACAGTTCAAACAATATATATATATATGTATCACTCATTCAAGTTCAGGGTATTCATGGTTATAGGGTCACATACAAGAGGAAGATGACTATAGGGCTACCCTTTACCAGAGTTCATTCACAATATGAAGAAGAAAAGTGATAAAATTGCTCAATATTTTGGAAGGTTTAGTTGGAAAAGTGTGGAGCCAGGGTGGACAGGTGCAGGAGACAGGATTGGCAGGTGTGGGAGACAGGGTGGACAGGTGTTGGAGACAGGGTGGACAGGTGTGGGAGACAGGGTGGACAGGTGCAGGAGGTGAGGCCAGGCGGACAGGTGTGGGAGACAGGTGTGGGCAGGTGTAGGAGACAGGGTGGGCAGGTGTGGGAGACAGGGTGGACAGGTGCAGGAGGTGAGGCCAGGCGGACAGGTGTGGGAGACAGGTGTGGGCAGGTGTAGGAGACAGGGTGGGCAGGTGTGGGAGACAGGGTGGACAGGTGCAGGAGGTGAGGCCAGGCGGACAGGTGCAGGAGACAGGGTGGACAGGTGTAGGAGACAGGGTGGACAGGTGTGGGCAAGTGTAGGAGACAGGGTGGACAAGGGCAGGTGTGGGAGACAGGGTGGAGAGGTGTAGGAGACAGGGAGGACAGGTGCAGGAGACAGGGTGGACATGTGTAGGAGACAGGGTGGACAGGTATTAGAGACAGGGTGGACAGGTGCAGGAGACAGGGGGGCAGGTGTAGGAGACAGGGGGGCAGGTGTAGGAGACAGGGGGGCAGGTGTAGGAGACAGGATGGACAGGTGCAGGATGTGCAGGAGACAGGGTGGACAGGTGTGGGAGACAGGGTGGACAGGTGTAGGAGACAGGGTGGACAGGTGCGGGAGACAGGGTGGACATGTGTAGGAGACAGGTTTGACAGGTGCAGGAGACAGGGTAGACAGGTGCAGGAGACAATGAGGTAAGGGGGCAGGCAATGAGGCAAGGGAGGCAGGTAATGAAGCAAGGGAGGTGGGCAGGTGAGGCAAGAGTCACAGGCAATGAGTTGAGGGAGGCAGGCAATGAGGTAAGGGAGGTTGGTGGGAAGGTGAGGCTGAAGCTTGAGGTTTGGCAGTTGTGACAAAGGAAGAGGGCAGGTGAGGCAAGGGAGGGTGACAGATGAGGCAAGGGACATAAATGATCATGACATGGTGGATAAGCCATGTATAAAACATATGTGTCTGACTTACTCTCTTTGTCTTCCTGGTTCGCATAGCCAGGCACTGACTCCATAGGGGAGACTCTCCTCATTCTCCATGGGAACAGGCAGTAGCCAAGTTCTTGAAGCAGCACAAGATCTGTACTAGAATCAACACCTTTGATACACAAGTGACAAAGAAACTTGTCCTAAGTCTGGGAAATAATAAATAATATAACCCTCCTTCCACTGAGTTATTCCAATATTTTGTGCCTGTTCAAATTTGTTTTGTGGCTTAGCTGTCATTTTAAAATCGTCTCTATACACCACAGTGAGTTAGGTTTTACATCTCTGGATCCAGGGATGTACCTGCAGCCTCATGCAGATGACTGATTCCCAGACATGATTAGTGCTCACTCACAAAGAATCTAAATTGGTGTGAATAATATTTATTAAAATGACATAAATCATTACCCATTTTGAACTTTGTAAAGTGGTAACATAACAAACAAAAATGGAGGTGCGTACTAGTAATAATTGATAATAATGAATTAGGCTATTTTAACATTAGTACTATTAATGACATGATGAAGCAATGTAGTCTAATACTTCAAACCATAGGGAGGCATGCTCAAATGGCAAAGCGTTATTGCTTGGGTTCAACATCTGCCAGTCATGATTAGGCCTAGTAAAATTCAGGAAGGACTAGATTCTCGTGAGGATCATTTTGGGGCTACCAGGAAAATTGCACCTCTGTACTTGATGATTTTTGCAGACTAATTAAAAATATATAAAAGATTACTAATCCTGCTTATTACCCTGGTCAGTCAATGACAGATCAATGTCAATTTCAATTACATTCACAGCTTTATGGGGACAATAGACAAGCAGCCCCTAAACACACAATGCACGACACACAAAAATAAACGGGGTAGAACGACTTAATTTTGGTTAACTGTACTCTTCTCTACCGAAAACACCTCATTAACGTCACAACCTACTTAATTCGCATGAGAAGATGATATCAATCAAACATGGGATACAATAAGGTGCAGTCAATATTCATATAATCAAAACAAACTAAATCCTTTGAGTTCCTTGAAACGATGGTTTGGCCTAGTCTAGAACGTATGACATTGGCGAAACCGAAAATATTGTATGTTTTAAATGTCTGCACACTTCAAAGAATAACGCTTACAAACCTTTTCCTTGTGGGTGATTTTATTGGGCGCCGTTGATTACTTTGTGGGCAGAATCTCCTCCGATGAGGCGTGGCAATGCGGCCCTTAGAAACGTAATGGGCCGCAATGTCTCATCTATGACGTCATAGCTTTTGATGTCACGTGATACGGTGTAGTCATCGCTCGTCGTCAACTTGTGATAGTGTGACACGATGCACTGAATCATTACAATCATGACTACTTTGAAATTTCATTTTCCTGGACATGAATATGTACGCAGGGTATCCAAACACACTGCCACACAATCGCGAAATCAACAAATGTTACTGTGTAGTCACAGCACTAAGATCGACCTTGACCTTTGTGTTTCAAATGAGAGTAGCCTCCCTTGGATCAAATAATATTGTATTGAAATTTACTTCCATAAATATTATATTTTTCTCTGTTTTGCATTATTCACTTAATGTATACCGCTCTTGAAATGTCGGGACAAGTTATACGCGGCCATACGGGACAAGGACAAGGCAAGCTACGAAATGTGACTATTTAGCTAAACTATCATGTCTGTAGATGTTGTGTTACTGGTCATGTGTGTCACTGTGGTAATCATGCATTCTTCTGAAAATTATACTTCACTATCTACTAGAATATGTACATATTATATTCATTATTATTATTATTATTATTATTATTATTATTATTATTATTATTATCTGGTTTATACGATTTCAGGTAATAATACATTGTAAATATGTATCGTCAATTTTTATCCTGTTTAATTAATAGTCCGTCAAACTTTAAGATCGCGATTTTTTAATGAATTAAATTACATGAGCAAATAGTTTTAAGAGTTAATAAGTTGGCCACAAGGGAAATGTAACCCGTGACTACCTAGAAATGCCACTTTTGTAATTTTGCACTCAGTTAACATTCCCCTATATAATTATACAAGAAAACGGTGATACAAATCTGCAACATCAAGCTGCAAGTAAGCTTCCGTGTAATTATGTCAAACATTTTTCAACACGACAAAAATATCGAAACAGTCACTTCTTTTGGGATAACACGACACTCTTCAGTGTGTTAATACCACCCGACCTTCATATAACTGACGACCGCCTCCGTGGTCTAGTGGTAGAGCGGAAGGTCCGGGGTTCGATCCCCGGCCGCGTCATACCAAAAGACGTCAAAAGATGGTACTTGTTGTTACCCTGTCTGGCGCTCGGCATGAAGGGGCTAAAACAAGGACTGGTCGGCTCGGAGTCAGTATTATGTGTCTGAGTGGGTTATGAGTGGGGTGAGTCATGTTAAACTGCGGCATGATATCACAGTGGGCTAGCACTATAAATCGGCATCAGTCCGGACAAGTACAAGCAGCCACACACACGTGCATGCACGTCGCTATATAAGTGCAATAATCTTGGACGCGACGTTAAACCCAATTTCACCTCACCTCATATAACTGGGTTGTATTGAGCTCCTTGCCAGTTTCATGTACAATAGTAAAACAGTGATTAGGTTAAAGCCTGTGAAGTGGATATGTTATGATATGTCTATAAAATGCGACGACTAGAGTGAGGTAATTAATCGAAATGCTTATAACCAACGATTATAACGAACTAAAGTTTGTGGCCTCTTTTAGTTCGTTATAACCGTAGTTTACTGTATACTCGATATGTGTGCATGTCTCCTGGGGTAATATAGAAATGATTCACCTAAACACTACTCACCTTTATCCTTCACCTTTATGCCAAGTACTCGAAATGTGATGGTACAAAATAATTTATCATAATCTCTGAGAAAAATAATTAAAGATATATGAGTTTGGCACTGGACACTCTCCGGGCAGAAGCTCTATCCACTAGACCACGGAGACGGTCTACCCCATGTTGACATTTCTTCCATAGAAACGCAATTAAAGTTTTCAATTCCTAAGTATGCAAAGTTTTATGAAACATATTGAACCGTTTAGAAGTTGTGTTCAGGAAACGAGCCCAACAAATATCTAAACGAAGTCCAATGCAAAATCTCAAAATTGAAAATATGAATAGCAAAACGCTTCTGCTGAGATTTTAAAGCAAAGTTCCAAAAAGGATATTGAACAGCTTATGAGTTAAGAATGAACACAACTCTCATTTGAACACCTCTACTCTCATTTCAACACGTCTGACGTCTTGCCTTGGAAACGCAATCAATAACAGAAATATCACTTAGGCAAAGGCGCAAGTTCAGCACTTGCCTCAGTACATGTATTCAAACTGCGAATGAACCCATCCCTTTTTTCCTCGCGAGTCTTTCTTGCTGTCTTGGAAAAGCAAAAAACAATACCCCAAACTTCTGAATAGCAAAAGGCACTTTCAGAAGTTACTGGTATGTTTACAAAGTTTCAAGTTATACCCGGAAGCGAACCCTGCCTTTTTAAATCTATCGTACATCTTGAAATAAACGCGTATTCCACTGACACAAGGCAGAGACATCGAGAGAGCATTTTGGAACAATACTGAAAAGTATACACCTGCCTTGATTAGACGCCTGGTCAATAGACCTCGATAAATGAACACAAACACGACGCATATTCGAGGATTTGGGGAAAACATTAATTCTATGCGAGCCATCAACACTGCACCAAACATATTATGTTTCGACTGTCCACTCTTAAACCTATTTACAATAAATGTCAACTTTACTGAACAATATAACAAAATCCCCACACACAATACATAAAACCCATTCCAAGTGGTCCCTGTCATGATGTTGCGGGAATAATGTTAAAAGCGCCGTAAAATCGTACTTACTCCCTTCCTCGTCCATAGTGACTGACGCGTACGTAAAATACACTCAGGAATGTTCCTGCAAGATATGGCTTTGGGGGGAAATGGCTCCCACTTATTATTGTTACACAATGTCTTAAAGAAATTATGGAATTTGACAATATACTTGACATTTTTGGTACATAGACTCCGTGTGAACATGACATTTTACACTAACAAACTGATAATACATGCATTTCCCATTCAATAACTCATAAAGTCCTAAGTCCACAATTAAATTATCATCACCAGACTCTAGGTACTCCAGACGGAGTGATAATTCTCTTGTGGACACTTGTGCTACTCTGAAGCTGTGGTAAATGTAGCTGATTGATGTCCGACAATGACAAAATGTGTCTCCCGACTCCGTGACGATTCCTGGTGAGAATTGGTGACCAGCATTTGGTGGGTCAGTTGGTCAGGCTCGGTGACTTGGTTGTATATGTGTCATCGTACCCCGACGGCGTGGGTTATTGCAGTAATATCAATAACTGGATTATCTGGTCCAGATTCGATTATTTACAGGCCGCAGTCATATTGCTGGATTATTTATGAGTACACTCCTACGCTCGTTTTTAGTCAAGGTATCGTATAAACAAATAAGACTATTTCAAGGACGTTTAAAAAGGCCATGTTAATAGTTTTCATAAATGTTTTTTAAATAACACTCGCATTTTCAAAGAATGCGATGGGAAAACAATTACAACAATATTGTGTAGCCAAAGTTGTGTAACAATAGCTCATGTATTTGTTGGTGGCTTCTTGCCTGTTGTTACAAGAGGGTCTGCATTGTAAAGTGAAGTCCTACATGCGCACGTGAAATTCGCGTGTGAGCCCAACAAACGGACTAGAACTATACTATACTGATGTCTGTGCCATGCTGACAGCATTTATGAAACAAGAACCGCGTTGGCATTCTGAATAAAAGTGCCCAGAATATCAGGCTGGTCTGATTGTCTGTCAAGAAACAACATGTGATTACATTAAAGCATCTGACACTTCCAGGTCGCTGAAATGTTGTTCTATGGTCATGACTGTAGTGGTAACAAAACAGCCACAGCTGGTGAGAATTGGTGACCAGCATTTGGTGGGTCAGTTGGTCAGGCTCGGTGACTTGGTTGTATATGTGTCATCGTACCCCGACGGCGTGGGTTATTGCAGTAATATCAATAACTGGATTATCTGGTCCAGATTCGATTATTTACAGGCCGCAGTCATATTGCTGGATTATTTATGAGTACACTCCTACGCTCGTTTTTAGTCAAGGTATCGTATAAACAAATAAGACTATTTCAAGGACGTTTAAAAAGGCCATGTTAATAGTTTTCATAAATGTTTTTTAAATAACACTCGCATTTTCAAAGAATGCGATGGGAAAACAATTACAACAATATTGTGTAGCCATACGCTACAGCTGTGTCATCAATACTCTAGGTGAGACGAGGTGAAATGGGGTTCATCTTTCAAGTTTTTTCACTTACATAGTGACGCGAATGCACCTATGGGTGAATGTGTGTGCGTGTGGCTGCTTTTACTAGACCGGATTAATAGTGAGAGCGCACTAAGATACCATGCAGCAGTTTAATATGGATACCCTACTGAGATACCAACTCCGAGTTCACCAATCCTTGTTTTATCCCCTTAAAGCCGAGCGCCAGGCAAGGTATCAACAAGTACCATTTTGGTATGGCGAGGCCTGATACCATCAGACCCTCTCCAGGCGGACGCTCTATTCACTAGATCATGGAGGCGGTCACCTTATTTAAAACATGTAATTACAAAGAGCTACATTTAGGGCTGGAGGTCTAAAGATCATTAAATAGATAGATCAATACTCACCTTTGCAAGAAATTAGAACTACACCATGCAAGCGGGACAAGAGTTGCGCCCCTTACGCGAGCCAGAAACAATTGATTGTGGAATAATGGAATCCGTTTCCCCAGGATTGTTTCTTGTTGTTTGAGCACCATTCCTGTGAGCATGCGTTTCAGCAAAGTTTGGGAACTGCCGTACTGAGAGTTGTCCTCACACATCAAGCTGGGCAGTCATAAAATACTGTTTAAAACCCAGAACTCACCACGAATATAGTCCGATTGCTGCAAAATCGCACCGATGAAATGCAAAATAGATGTAAATCCGAAAGCAACGATTCGTCTTCAATGGCATGAAAGTATTTTATCTGTCCATACCAACTCGTCACCATAATTCCATAGATTGGCGTCAAGTGTTGAAAAAGTTGTGTAACAATAGCTCATGTATTTGTTGGTGGCTTCTTGCCTGTTGTTACAAGAGGGTCTGCATTGTAAAGTGAAGTCCTACATGCGCACGTGAAATTCGCGTGTGAGCCCAACAAACGGACTAGAACTATACTATACTGATGTCTGTGCCATGCTGACAGCATTTATGAAACAAGAACCGCGTTGGCATTCTGAATAAAAGTGCCCAGAATATCAGGCTGGTCTGATTGTCTGTCAAGAAACAACATGTGATTACATTAAAGCATCTGACACTTCCAGGTCGCTGAAATGTTGTTCTATGGTCATGACTGTAGTGGTAACAAAACAGCCACAGCAGCCATTTTGAAAAGAAACCCACATCTGTGGCAACTACACCAACATTCTTCATTGGACCTTTGCTCTTTGGCCATGCTTTTAAACTTAATTCTAGGCTCTTGAACACTGCTTGGCTGTTGAAGTTTCGATTTGATATGCATGTTTCGTCTTTTTGTTGATCGCCTCCATCGTTTAGTGGATATCTCTGCCCAGAGCATTCGATCCGGACATGTCATGCCAACATATGACTCCTGAAGATCCTGTTTAGAATAGGTCCTCAGCAACTCATGCTTGTCATAAGAGGTTACTATGCTATTTGTAAGAGGCAACTAACGGGATCAGGTCATGCTCACTGACTTGATAGAAGCATGTCATCGTATCCCAACTGTATGGATCAATGCTCATGATATCGACCAGACTCGATTATTTACAGACCGCCGTCATATAGCTGGAATATTGCTGGGTGTGGTGTTAAACAACAAACAAACCAAGAAACATACCAACAGACATTAAAAGAGAGCACTTGTTGTTTCCCTGTCTGGTGCTTAGTATGAAGGGGATAAAACACTAATTGGATGGCTCGAAGTCAGTATGCCGTGACAGTATACAGAGATGGGTATCCATGTTAAACTGCAGCATGGAATCTCAGTGGGCTAGCACTGTATAACTGACTTTCATCTACACTAGTACAAGCAGCACACACCTTAAATAAGTGCAATAATCTTAAACCGCATTGTTAAACCTAATTTCACCTCCCCATCCCCTATTTTATCACAAGGCTTATACAACTGAAGCAATGTGTAAATAATAATTGCTGTAGGTTCAAGGTTTTGCTTTTTCTCAGAAATATGTATTTGCACATGGTGATTCTGTTTGTTGGCACTGTCAGTACATTTTTTACATGTAAATATAAAAAATAACACATGGGAACATATGAAGATACCTTTTATTGTCTTATTGGTACTGAATGCTTTTTGACTGATGAATTGTGATTTAAATTATTGTGGGTTGCTTCAGACTAGTTTTGTCATATCAAGTACATCCTTCAAAAGAGCTAACTGTGAACATATCGTATGACTGGCCATTGTCCAGAATCCAGCCTTTGACTGATATATGAATGCAACACTTCTCCAACATAACAAGTTTATTCACACCACTTATGTTGTAAATCCATTTTGTTACATTTCTGTCTAAATAATACAGGATAGTATATCTGTCATCACAATACTGAGATCCCTTTAACACATAACCACATGAGACACATCAGCTGCATACCATACATAAACCATATAAACCACATCCAGTACAAGACCAATCACAAATGATTACATTATTTTCAAGCACTATTTGCTGATGTTTCTTCAGAAGCCATCCCCCTGGATGTGTTTCTTTGACCTCTGGGTAAGGCGTCCAACTGGGAGCTAATGTCCAGGGTCCATTCCTCAAAGTGATCGTAGCACTACGAAAATCGTAAGTCTATGTTTAAGGAGCAGTGTTCCACAAACTCATCTTATTTTACACTAAGACTCAAAATACTTAAATTTGGCCTCTTCCACAAAGCCATCATAGTTACACTCATACTTAAAAAAAATAAGTTTAGTGGTTTTCCAGAAAGCAATCTTAGTGTAACAACTATCACTACTCCAAGACTTTAGTTAACAATGACTCATGATAGTCAGTACGCTAAGACCACTGCGTGTAATAAGGAGGCCTCTTCTCCAAAACCATCTTGAGCTACAACCATGACTACTATCATACTTTAACAGACTTCAGATCAGTTCAGGGTGTTCCGGAAAGCAATCGTAATGGAACAACGATCACTACTCCAATACTAAGTTAACAATTATTTACAATAGTCATGACGCTAAGACCACTGCGTGTAATAAGGAGGCCTCTTCTCCAAAACCATCTTGAGCTACAACCATGACTACTATCATACTTTAACAGACTTCAGATCAGTTCAGGGTGTTCCGGAAAGCAATCGTAATGGGACAACGATCACTACTCCAATACTAAGTTAACAATTATTTACAATAGTCATGATGCTAAGACCACTGCGTGTAATAAGGAGGCCTCTTCTACAAAACCATCTTGAGCTACAACCATGACTACTATCATACTTTAACAGACTTCAGATCAGTTCAGGGTGTTCCGGAAAGCAATCGTAATGGAACAACGATCACTACTCCAATACTAAGTTAACAATTATTTACAATAGTCATGACGCTAAGACCACTGTGTGTAATAAGGGGGCCTCTTCTACAAAACCATCTTGAGCTACAACCATGACTACTATCATACTTTAACAGACTTCAGATCAGTTCAGGGTGTTCCGGAAAGCAATCGTAATGGAACAACGATCACTACTCCAATACTAAGTTAACAATTATTTACGATAGTCATGACGCTAAGACCACTGTGTGTAATAAGGGGGCCTCTTCTACAAAACCATCTTGAGCTACAACCATGACTACTATCATACTTTAACAGACTTCAGATCAGTTCAGGGTGTTCCGGAAAGCAATCGTAATGGAACAACGATCACTACTCCAATACTAAGTTAACAATTATTTACGATAGTCATGACGCTAAGACCACTGTGTGTAATAAGGGGGCCTCTTCTACAAAACCATCTTGAGCTACAACCATGACTACTATCATACTTTAACAGACTTCAGATCAGTTCAGAGTGTTCCGAAAAGCAATCGTAATGGAACAACGATCACTACTCCAATACTAAGTTAACAATTATTTACGATAGTCATGACGCTAAGACCACTGTGTGGAATGAGACTCTGGTAGTGTTTCCATCAGCAATAAATATCCAACTATCCAGGACGACTCTGGACACAATGTCAGTGTGGGTCTTTCTCTGCTGGCTAACGACCAGCCTGGTGATTCTTCAGTGTTGGTGTAATTCTGCACACACTCAACTTGACGGGGAGGTATTGTCAGTGTTTTTCAGCTCATCAACATACAGTCTGACTCAGGAGGCGATGTCCTGGTGCATCTTGAGAGCCATGGCCTGGAGAGCTGAGTCAGAGTGGATCTCCAGTGCCTGGAGGACGTTGGCCAGAGCTTCTTCATGCTGACCCTCAAGATACAAAGTCCTGGAACAGAGGGAGTGCGATGGCTTCACTCTCATGTGGCATTTGTGCATTCCTTGGTCTACAGATCGTTCTAACATTAGCAACTATTGAATAAAATTAAATATGAGAACATGCCATGTTTTATTCCACATGTTTCAGATCTTGAAATGGTCTTTTAGGTCCATCTTTGATGTTCTTATTGTTAATAGTATAAAGGAAAGTATGTGTATAGTAATAGATATTATGAAACTTGTGTAAGAATTCATGTAATACCCTCACTTTCGGTCGGGAAATAAAAGAATTCTGACCCTCATTTTCGTAAAATCAGCACAACACACATGCTCTAATAATAATCTCTATAAATTCATTACTTGTTAGAACAGTATATTAATGTTTAATTAGTTGAAAATCTGGTCATATATTTAACTTTTTCACTCTTTCCAATATACAATTTAACAACACTAAAAACATCCGCAAACCCTTTGTTTCTGAAAAATAATAGCCTATGTGTATAGATTATATACCATGTCCTAGCCAGTTGTTGATCACTTGCATGATAACGGCACAAGCACCTCAAACATCACTTTGAAACAAAAAAGACGTTCACTGTGTCTTCCTTCATACAGATTGTAAATGGCACTTAAAGACACTGACCTGCCTCTCTGTACAAACTTGTCAAACTGGGCCCTCAACTGTGGTGACAGGTCATTCAGGTCATCCTGGTCCTCCTCCTCCTCACTGGAGCCTGAACCTGGAGAGATGTCACAGAGAGAAGAGTCACTTCTATATTGTAGATATACCCACTGTTTAAATCGCTACTTCCAGCTATATCATGGCTGCCTGGAAGTAATGGCGTCTGGACAAGGCAAATCAGTGCATAAGAACCAATCCATGCCATTCACGGTACATTGATGCAGAATCTGTCAAGTCACAGATCCTGACCACCCGATCCCCATTAACGTTGACTCTGCACGTGGTACTGGGGACCTATTCTGATGAAGAATCCCCACAAGAGGTTGATGTCACTAACACTGTCAGTTCTCAGTGTACAGAAACATCAATGGATACCAAATAACTGCTGCATCAGCAAAATCTTAATACGAGAGAAATAATGAAAGAAAATATTTTACAACAAATTGTGTATTTATAATACTTATCCTATCTCACACTTTTGGATTTCTCCCTTCTCAATCGATCCTAGAGTGGAAACGAACCTTGAAAATGTTTCCAGCTTCTGAACCTCACCCAAACACACCCCAGTGGTAACCATGGTAACCATGGTCACCACTACCACCACTTGCCCTGCAACACATGGATCTGATGCTGTCTGATCAATCGACTTGCCCTACCAACTCATTCTCTTTCACAGAGCACTTACAGGCTTACGTTACTGTGTTGACGAGCCAGCTAAGGAGGTGTAACAACTCCCTAGCATATGATTCCCTAAGACCTGAGGGGCAGCATGAGCTTAAATGCAGTCATCCATGAAGGCCTCGAGGACGATCCCACAGCAGTGAAGAAACTGAGTGATGAGATTCATTGGAGGCATAATAACCAGGGTGGCATGGAATGCCAAATTTGAGCACCACCACTGGTAGTGTATCCCCTGGAAGATAAAGCGATGATACCATTGAGGATCCGGATAGATTGGCACACGAAGGTAAGATTCTTGGAGGTCAAAGTAGTCTCTCGGTCGAACAATCATTCGAAGAAGAGCAAACAAAACCATTCGAAAGTGCAGTGGTATCTCCAGAAACTGCTCACTGAACGGTTTCACATTGAATATCATGCACAGATTGCTGGTGTCTTTCTTCAGGAGATTGGGACCTAATGATCCTGTTGATGCTTGTCAAGCAACACGACTATTGTGTCTGGTGGAGCTGGCACTTGGCTGGTTGAGTAGTCTAGCTGCATAAGATGACTTGTCCAGGGAGGCATTGAATATAGTGGCAACCTGTAGCCCTCAGTCAGCAGTCATTTAATGTAAGGGGACACTATTATTATGTAATGTAAGGGGACACTATTATCACATAATGTAAGGGGACACTATTATTATGTAATGTAAGGGGACACTATTATCACGTAATGTAAGGGGACACTATTATCACGTAATGTAAGGGGACACTATTATTATGTAATGTAAGGGGACACTATTATCATGTAATGTAAGGGGACACTTTTATCATGTAATGTAAGGGGACACTATAATCATGTAATGTAAGTGGACACTATTATCATGTAATGTAAGTGGACACTATTATCATGTAATGTAAGTGGACACTATTATCATGTAATGTAAGTGGACACTATAATCATGTAATGTAAGTGGACACTATTATCATGTAATGTAAGTGGACACTATTATCATGTAATATAAGGGGACACCATAATCAATCCAAGCCAACATGTCCATCTGATCAACACTGTTTATCAAAGATACTGGTGGTCCTAGCGTCACTGCTTCAAGGTGTGGCATGGTACCGCAGCAGTCAGATCCACGATGGTGAGTAGAATATGTCAGCTCGAAACCCACCCATCGAGGCCTTTAGGTAGGATCTAGAACTAGAAGATGTTTCCCTTTCAGAGCACTTCCTTCTCTGTGGCGAATGACTTTCCCTGAAAGCAGCCGACACAGATTGCATCTCTTTGGAGATCTTGCAAAGATCATCTCGTTATGAAGCCATGGAAGTGACAGTAGACAGCTTCTCCATCTACCGATCTATTCACTACAGATGATTCTTCAGTTAGGTCTGATGTCAAGAACGAGTCCAAACCTTCTTCCAAGGAGAGTGATGGACTGTTCGCAGCCCCCTTTGACGAACCTGATCGTGCAGCCTTTAACATTCTTTTCGTTTCTTGGCAGCAGAAGGCCCATCCATGTTCCTCAGATGTGGATTTAGATCATCCATCACTTTCCCTCCTTGCACATTTCCTTCTGTAGATGGGAAAGTCCTCGTCACACAGCACACTACAGATATCACACCTGTCAGATGAAGGACAAAGTCCTCCACACTCACTATAGCTATTATGCAGATCATGTGCACAAAACATTAGCTTGCATCTGTCAAACACTTCCTTTTCCTTCCTTACCATCATAACAAAACATTATAAACTGAAATACTCAAAAGAAAAAAGTACTATTCTCCTACAGAAAAAAAACATGTCTCCACTCAAGAGCAATATGAAAGAGAATGAGTTGATAGGGCAAGTCATGTGATCAGGAGGCATGAGGTCCATGCATTGCATGGGCAAGTGGTGACCACGGTTACGGCTGGGGTGTGTTTGGGTGAGGTGTTTTTTGAAGATGGAAAAATTTTCAAGGTTTGTTTCCACTCTAGGATGGATTGAGAAGGGAGAAATACAAAGTGTGAGATGGGATAAGTTTTAAAAACTCTCATAAATGATACCTTAATGATTATCTTTTGAAAAAGGTGATAGTTTTTGAATGTTAGGAAAACTCGAAAAGAGGATAATGTCCTTTGGTCAAATCTATGTTAATAGTTCTCCAGAGTTGGGGCGCCTTTATTGGGGTCCAAATATGATTGGTGTAGACTTGATCTTTAGCACACTATAGTCCTCGGATTGACATATCTACCTTCTTCCTCATCTCCAGTTTCCTCAAATTCCTCCTCATCATCATCTATAAAGTCATCATCATCGCTATTAACTTCATCTTCTGAAAAAAATCATAGCGATAAAAATCACATTAGAGATAAGCATAACATAGGCACATTTCCACTGGATTCTTCTCTTCAGTTAACTCAGTTGTTAGTTGTTACTAGGAAAAGATGCAACTTTTTCCCATCCTTTAATTCAATGAAAATTTCATTAAAGGGTTTTGTCATTGGATTTGATCTTGCAACATCCATTTCATAGGTTTATGAAAGTGTTCAGTGACTTCAAAGAAATTGTCTGGAATTCCAATTTCAAATTAACAGATACCGGTAATATGTTTTGGATGTACTATTCTAATAAAATATATGCACTGAAGTATATACACTACTCAATATTTGATAAGGACCAAAACAGCCATCTTCAGTCAAATGTGTGGTCCCTAACAAATGTTGAGTAGTGTATCATTGGTTAAATAGTGTGTGAGAGTCCCAGTCCAACATGGATTCTAACAAACTAGATACAAAGTCCTCATGCTTAAACCTAAATTTGAATGATCATCCTCATCATGAGAACAACCGAGACCCACCTTCCTCCTCCTCCGAACCTTCTATATCACGGTCATCAGCAGGACCAGCCTCTGCCTCTTCATCCTCGGACAACAAAGACTTTTCCACATCCCCTTCCTCCAACTCTTCATCCTCGGACAACAAAGACTTTTCCACATCCCCCTCCTCCAACTCTTCATCCTCGGATAACAAAGACTTTTCCACATCCCCCTCCTCCACCTCTGAAAAACCATTCCCTGATGACAGAGCAGAATCATCCCCTGTCCTGGTACTTCCAACGGCACTTCGACCTGCAGCAGGTCCCCTTGGGTCATCTGCCACATCATCCCCCAGGTCCGGCAGCTCATCATTCTCACTGTCCGATTCTGGCAATCTCATCTCACTCTTCTCAGCCAACTCAGCACTTGATGATCTTTGTTCCTCATCCTCTTCGTCCGAGCTCTCGATTACAATATTCCTCTTGCAAACACTCCTCCGCCGGTTCTTCTTCACTGGGGTATCCTTGTCACTATCTCTCACAATGTCATCATCACAGATGCTGCTCTCCACCCTGGAATCCACCTCCTCATCCTCAACAACAGGAGTGTTCTCTACCGAGTCGACAACATGGAAGCTTTTCAAAGCCTTTATTCTAGGTAAATCAGCTTGTTGTAGACTCTCCTGCAGCTTCTTCCTGCAAGCAGGGGAGTCCTCCACAAAGGTTTCCTCAAGCCTGTCGCTGTGGCTAGAGGAGGTTGATGATGGAGTCTCGGGACTGTCAGATGCACAGCTCATCAAAGTGCGACTCAGAAACTGAGCAGGTGATGCCGTTTTAGAATGATTGCGTTGTCTCTTTGCTTTCAGCTCCATCAAAGGACTAGCCGGTTCAGGAGAGATCAGAATGTGCTCCTCAACAACCAGCGGTCGTTTCTTCATAGGAGTCAATTTTTTATATTTGAATTCTTTTGGAGATGTCAATTCTTCTTTCACTTTTAGAAGTTGTTGAGCCTCTGGCTTGTTGGTTGTCGTCAAGCCCTCATCATTATCATCTGATAGTTCTGTTTCTTTGTCGGATGAGGATAAATAGTCTTCAAGTCTTTCACAAGTTGCATTCATTTGCGAACAATCTAATCCTGATGTCTTACCAGCACCATCATCAGAATCAGGTTGTAAAGTGATGCTCATGTTTTGGTCAATTCTGTCAATGACATGGTCAATTTCATTAGACAGTGCATCTTTAGCATTTGGCAGATGGTCTTCAAGCCTGGACCGGTGGTTGTTCACTGCAGCATCAGCTTCAGCGTTCAGTTCTTCCTCACAACTGTCATACTCTGTGTCGTCGCTGATGGGTGATGCATCTTTCCTGGTGAAGTCCTTGGTAGGTGACGACTCATCATCCTCTGTCATCGACACATCAGCCTCATACATATCAGATCCTTTGTCAGACTGGAGCTTACTCTGGCAGAAGAAGAATATCATAATTTACAATCAAAAGTAACAGTTTCAAAATGACAGCAAGGCAGCAAGTAGAGAGTGAGTGAGTTGTGTTTAACGCCGGTTTTAACATCTACATATGTAATAGGTTTGTGGCTCATTGGTTCCGAGTGTGCTATCAGGTCACCACTGTCTACTGCCCTGTTAACCAGGCAGGGTTCGATTTAAGGAACTTGATGTAACTTGCACCAGGATGCACCAGACAAAACCAGGTTGCACCCTGGTCCCATAGATTTATCAAACTTGAAACATAGGCTGGTCTGCCAGTGTCACATAAATTAATGACGCATTGCTGTAAAATGTAAAAGGTGAGTGTGTGAGTGAGTGAGTGAGTTGGGTTTAACGCCGCTTTTAACATTATTCCAGTTATATCACGACGTGTCAGCTTAATGTGGGAGGAAAGCCTGAAGTGATGCAGGTCTCAGACGTTTACCACTTTGTTGAAACCCACGAGCACGGGTATGGTGCTGACAAACCTAGAAACATAATCAGGGCGAACCGGGATTCGAACCAACAATCATATGTTTCTGGTGTGCCAAAGGGACGCAACTCTGCACAGCGAATCACGGCGCCTTAGACGACTGGGCCACCCATGACCCCGATGAAGTGATGCATGTTGATATGTATTTGACTTACAGAGCTTACATATCTCCATATGCAAAATATCACTATCAGATTACTGTATTTCACCATTAATGACCCAGACATTCTCATGGGCTATATAGATTTACTTTCTAAACTAATACACCAGATAAATATCAATGCACAATGCACAATTGCATTATGGGATGTTAAAAAATGAAATTCTGAAATGGAAAGATTTTTACTTAAACCAATTCTTTACCTCATCCATCATCGATGTATGTTCAACTTTGACTGCTTTCTCTACAGCTGACCCTTCAACCTTGACCTCTGTTTTTACAGCTGACCCTTCAACTTTGACCACAGGTGGTAAATGTTCAGATTTAACCTTTACAGGAGAATCCAGAATTTCAATCAAAGAAGTGTCTGATCCATTCTGACCCTGTATAACAGGTGACCTCTCCACCTTGACCTTCACTGGTGAATCCAGAACTTCTACTGGTGATTCATCGTCATCATCATCCATGACTGTGAGGTCTACAGTGGCGGGGAGGGGCACATCACTGTCATAGTCAGAGCTGCCTGGAATCAAAAGAAGCTCCCAACATGACTTTCTTAATGAAAAGGGCGGTGGGGTAGCCTAGTGGCTAAAGCTTTCTCTATTTCCAAGCCAAGGCCCTGTTTCAGGCTTCAGAAACCTTCAAGACATGTGGTTATTTTTATTCCGGTCCATAATAGGTTTCAGACGTGTGCAAGGGACGCAACTCTGCACAGCAAATTGCGGCAACTAGGCCACCCTTGCCCAAAAAAACATCAGTGGGGCCTTCAGAACACTTCAGGTGCATGACATAAACACAAAGGAAAGTGCCTTCTACTATCCTGTTTCAGAGATTAAACTGAAGGAGTGAGTGAGTGAGTTTGGTTTAATGCTGCTTTTAACAGTATTACAATTATATCGCGGCTTGTCAGCTTAATGTGGGAGGAAAGCCCCAAGTGATGCAGGTCTCAGACGTTTAAACTGAAGGAAACAACAGATACCTTTCGGCCTGTTGGGTTTCTGATCATATTGTTTGGGTTGAAAGAAGCCTGTGGGGGATTTGCGCTGAGCTCTGTTGTTGACGTCACAGTTGCGGGGGTACTGCCCCATTCTCTCCTGCAGCGTTGACGACAGACTGGACTCCATCTGTAGCAGCTCCTGGGCCTTCTGGACCTGAACACAGCAGACACAAATCTAGATCAGAAAATGATTTTCCTGGCCCACAAACCTGATCCCCTCTGAACACGGCAGACACAAATCTAGATCATACAATGATTTTCCTGGCCCACAAACCTGATCCCCTCTGAACACGGCAGACACAAATCTAGATCATACAACGATTTTCCTGGCTCAGAAACCTGATCCCCTCTGAACACAGCAGACACAAATCTAGATCATACAATGATTTTCCTGGCCCACAAACCTGATCCCCTCTGAACACGGCAGACACAAATCTAGATCATACAACGATTTTCCTGGCTCAGAAACCTGATCCCCTCTGAACACAGCAGACACAAATCTAGATCATACAATGATTTTCCTGGCCCACAAACCTGATCCCCTCTGAACACGGCAGACACAAATCTAGATCATACAACGATTTTCCTTGCTCAGAAACCTGATCCCCTCTGAACACAGCAGACACAAATCCAGATCAGAAAATGATTTTCCTGGCCCACAAACCTGATCCCCTCTGAACACAGCAGACACAAATCTAGATCATACAATGATTCCTCAGGTTCACAGATTTTTTGCAAAAAAATTCAGGCCAGTAGGACGAAAGAAAATAATCAAATTTTAAACATTTGTTTTTGATTTCCTCAAAATGTTAAAATGTGGGTTGGCGGTAGATAAAGAATGTCTGGCCTTACACGAATATTAGTTCAGAAGAAAAAAGGTTTGTGTTTTTGTTTGTAGTTTATCGCTGCACTCAGCAATATTCAAGCTGACTTGACATATTTCCCCCTGTCTGGTGCAATTTGGACATGGAATTTGGCTACTTATTCCACACTCTTAGTTCTTTGCCATTGGATACGTACAGTTCAAAGAAAAGAATAATGTTGTTCAGTCTTTTTCAATATCCAAAATCATCAAAAGACATTGTTCACCACTAGTCTGATCTGCATAGCAAATTTCATCAAGGAACATTCAGCGGTTTTGGAGTTTTGCTCCTGAAAAGACCACTACTCTCATTTTCAGTACAAGTCAAAATTGGCTTCCTGAAAACACAAAAAGGAAAAAAATAAATAAATCCCAAATCCTAAAAAGGCACCAGATTACCACTATACTCATTTTCAGTAAAGTCCAACTTATCGTCATGAAAACATAAAAAAATATAAAAAAGAAATATCCCAAATCATCAAAAGGCACCTGTTCACCACTAGACTGACCTGTGTGGCAAGTTTCATCATGAAATATTCAATGGTTTTGAAGTTCTGCTCCTAAAACGAACTCTACCCTCATTTTCAGTCCAACTTGTCTTCAAGAGAAAACAATATATATACAAAATAAATATCCAATATCATCAAAAATTCACCACTAGACTGATCTGTACAGTAAGTTTCGTCAAGAAATATTCAACGGTTTAGGAGTTGTGAGACCAGACATCCCAAACATCCCATCAGCGCCACCAAACAAGTCACTGTGCCCGACCATTAGATCCATGAAGTCACTCTGTACGTCGGCACAGGCTGCTGGAGGCAAATTCTAACCCGGACTCCCCAATGGGCCCCTTACCCGATGCAGGATGTAGTCATTAGAGTGGACCTCCTTTGTGTCATGTTCTGCATCGCTGTCCACATCGTCAGCATGTTCTTGACTGAACATAAGGTCATGGTCACTCACGCCAAATATCTCTGTAATTAAAACATAAACAGGAAGTGAGTGATTGAGTATGCTTTTACGCCACTTTTAGCAATATTCCAGCAATATCACGGCAGGGGGCACCAGAAATGGGCTTCACACATTGTACCCATGAAGAGAATCGAACCCGGGTCTTCGGCGTGACGAGCAATCGCTTTAACCACTAAGCTACCCGACCGCCCCTAAACAGGAAGTGGTAGATGGAGGTTGGTTGAGGTTGAAAGGGGTTACTGTTGTGTCCAAGATCATTGCACTTATATAGCTTGTACCGGTCCAATGCCGATTTTATAATGCTACCCCACTGAGATACCATGTCACAGTTTAACATGAATACCCCACTCAGTTATAGTATACTCCAAGGCGACCACAGTGAGCCTGGCTTTTGAAACCGCAAGTCCCAGTGGACTAGCAACTCCAAAAATTACAAGTTCCACTCAATTTTTGTCAGTCCCAACTTCGAAAAATGAAAATGGTATAAAAAAATTCTGCTTTTAATTCTTTCAAAATCAATTTCAATACAGTGTACCTTGATGGCTGACAAATACAGTGACGTTATTTCTGAAAGCAACTTAGTTAGATCTACACGTCATTCACATAAAGTTAAATCACAATTTTCTCCCTTTGTCTTTTTGGACAATAAAATATGTTTAATAATAATAATAGTCCTTGTTTTAGCCCCTTAATGCTGAGTGCAAGACAGGGTAACAATAAGTACCATCTTTTCATGTCTTTTGGTACAACGCGGCCGGGGATATCAAACGCCCAACCTTTCACGCTCTGGGCAGATGCTCTACCACTAGACGACAGAGGGGGGTGAACACCAGAAATGGGCTTCACACATTGTACCCATGTCGGGTATCAAACCCGGGTCTTCAGCGTGACGAGTGACCGCTTTAACCACAAAGCCACCCGACCGCCCCTGACATAGCTGGAATATTGCTGGGTCTTGTGTTGAAAGTGTTGCCCCAGAAAGTCATCTAAGGCATGCTGGGATTCTAAACCAGAATCCTCAATGCGTAAACAGGCAGGAGTACGAGCATGACAAGAGTACACATTGATGCAACACAACCTGGTACTCGACAATACGCACATTACACTCCATGACTTGGAGGAGACCACAGGTTTCTTGTATGGGTTAATAGAAAAAATCCTTCAAGAACATCTACATATGTAATAGGTTTGTGGCTCATTGGTTCCGAGTGTGCTATCAGGTCACCACCGCCTACTGCCCTGTTAACCAGGCAGGGTTCAATTTAAGGAACTTGATGTAACTTGCACCAGGATGCACCAGACAAAACCAGGCTGCACCCTGGTCTCATAGATTTATCAAACTTGAAACATAGACTGGTCTGCCAGTGTCACATAAATTAATGACGCATTGCTGTAAAATGTAAAAGGTGAGTGAGTGAGTTGGGTTTAACGCCGCTTTTAACAGTATTCAAGTTATATCACGGCGTGTCAGCTTAAAGTGGGAGGAAGGCCCGAAGTGATGCATGTCTCAAGACGTTTACCACTTCGGTGACACGAGCAGGAGGTATGGTGACAAACCTAGAAACATAATTGGGTTGAACCGGGATTCGAACCCACAATCATAGGTTTCTGGCGTGCCCAAGGGACGCAACACAGCGAATCATGGCGCCTTAGACGACTGGGCCAAAATGTAAAAGGAACATGTGCACATAATATTATATGTACGTACTCACAGTTTGATGAAGTCAAGCCCACAAAAGCATTACAAATTACACATAACAGGGATTATAGATGAAGTATTGTTTATTTGTTTGTTGTTTATTAATAGTAATATTCCAGCTGTATGATGGTGGTCTGTAAATAACTGAGTGTGGACCTTACAATAAAGTGATTGGCATCACGAGCATTGATCTACGCAGATGGGATACGATGACATGCATCAACCAAGTCAGCGAGCCTGACCACCCGATCTCGTTAGTCGCCTTTCACGACAAGTATAGTCGCCTTTTACGGCAAGCATGGTGACAAGTAAGGGTTAGTCTAACACAAATCTGATTTCTTTGTAGACATACATACATGTTGCATTTTTCAACAATAGGTTGAACTGGTGTATGTCTTATATAGCTAAATCGAGCCCTGCTAGATATAATCGCAAACCCAGAAGATTTCCATTTTAGACTAGTGACAGTTGGAGACTGTGATCCATCACTACAAGCAAACAAGAATCTATGAAGCCGAAAATCTTCGGGTCTCCCAAAACCAGAAAGTTTAAAGCAATCAGATTCACAAGGAAAGATATGGCCACCTTCTGTTCGGAGAGACAGGCATAACCTACCTTGAATATTTACCAAGGGGAACAACTAGGAATGGTGTTTGTCATGCTAACTTATTGAAAAGATTGTGTGACCCTATCAAAGAGAAGCATCAGGGCCAACTTTGACGTGGTGTTCTCCATCAAGATATCATGTTGCAATGGCTGCTGTAGCATAGTGTATGGGATACACACTTGTACCCCATTCACCTTATCCACCAGGGTGCCGCTGTACAAAACAACCTTATCGCTACTACTGTCGTAAGTCTATGTTAAGGTATGGGAGTTACTATCACTTTAGCGCTAAGATCGCTTTGTACAACAGCACCCAGATCTGACCCCGAGTGACTTCCACCTGTTTATAAATTTGAAAAAAAAAAAACTTGCTTGGTCGGAGATCTAATAAATAGTTGCTGCTGTGTAGGGCAGGTTGACAGACAAGGATTTGACTTCCTACAAAACAGTGATAACTGACCTGGAGGTGAGGTGAGGAAATGGGGTTTAATGTCGCGTACAAGATTATTGTACTTATATTGCGACGTGCATGTACATGTGTGTGTTTGTGTGGCTGCTTGTACTAGTCCCGATTTATAGTGCTAACTCACTGAGATACCATGCCGCAGTTTAACATGAATACCCCACCCAGACACAGAATACTGACTCCAAGCCGACCAGTCCTTGTCTTAGCCCCTTAATGCCGAGTGCCAGACAACAAGTACCATCTGAGCTCAAAATAATTTTTACACCCCCTCTTATATCTATTTTAATGTGAATATGGCAGGCAAATTGGAAAGAAAAAAACCCATTATTTTGTACAAGAGTGAGAAAACTTAAAACTGTGTGCAATATGTAAACCTTAATATTAAAACAGTTTCTTTTGATTGCTTGGCATGGGTATCCCAGTCATCTAAGGCACGGCAAGTCGCTGTGCAGAGTTGTATCCCTTGGGCATGCCGGAAACCTATGATAATGGGTTTGAATCCTCAAGATCTGTCAGCACCATACCAGTGCTTGTAGATTTCGCCAAATTGGTTTATGTCTGATACCGGCATCACTTTGGGCTTGCCTCCCACATAATGCTGACACACAGTGCTATAACTGGAATACTGTTCAAAGAGGTGTTCAATGCAACTCACTCACTCACTCTTTTCACTGCTCCTGCCATTAGTGAAATTCAAATCCACTCAATGAAAATAATTCCATTTCGATTTTCTTAGACCTTGTATATCATAAATAGTCAATGTGTAAGATGTGATTCATTTAAGAAATTCATAAAATGCCTGAAACATCGGTCCATTTATTTAACAGACTGACTGAATGCTTTTAAAAAGTTCAAAAGGTCTTAAAAACATCACAATAGACTTATTATGCTAGGATAAGAAGACAAATATATATATACTTTCGTTTTCTTTTTATCCTACCATTTAAAGTCACTGGGTGATGAAATTAAATATCAAAATGTTTGGAATTCATTATCATAATAATATAAATGGACAGATTGGCAGGATGCCTAAGTGAAAATTCATTTTACACATTAACTGTAACATATACATGGAATAAATTTGAAGCAAAAGATATTTATTAGACTGTTTGTGGAATATTTTACCGACAGTCTGCTCATAAACAAACTTAGGCTGCACAAGCCAATTTTAACCTGCACTAGAGCAACTTCTTTGAGTGGCATTTAGAAGTTGGAATGGTAACTAAGACAAGATTATTATGGATGAGCAACTTCTTTATTACAATTGGGCGACGTTTCGGTGTAGATTCTAACCAGCAAATGTCTTGTCTTGTCTTTGGGAAATCTCACCCTGCATGTACGCAACAGCTACAAAAAGCACAACATGCAATCCTATAAACTACCACAGCTAGGTGTTTATATAAATCACTAAGTTGACAAACAAAACACACACAGATTATTAAACTCAAGACAACAAATCTTCCATTGTTGAGCCCATGGTCTGGCTGATACCAGAAGCTTAATTGCCGGGACTTTAATCTGTAAGCCTGTATCTACTGCCAGGGATTAGCTGGAGATTATCTTGTAGGTGTTAAACACTGTACAAACATGTTGATACATGTCGCATTGTCAAAGATAGGGCCAAGCTTCTGTGCCGATTTTTGGCGAGATTTGTTGTTTTATGAATTAACATGAAATTCCAATAAAAACAATGTTGGGTAAGGGGAATGATGGTTAAGATTTGGTTGCTGTTGCAGACAACTGATTAAAAGAATTAAGATACATGAAGGGTTCCTCTTGATAACGAGTCTGATATTTGGAGCTGTGCTTTTCAGGTGTTCCCTGTACTTACCATAGTTTTAATAAATCTCCCCATCTTGTCTACAATATTTATATTACGTCTTAATCTTTCAAGTCACTGAACACTAAGACTATGGGTCTTATGCTAAAAGGGGTAATTAAAACAAACTGACTGACTGAAGACCATTTCATATTATCATGGGATTGTATCTAGGAAAATAATTTGCCCCAAAAGATTATTAAAAAATAATAATTATGCTTCCCACTGATTAAAAAAAGAGAAATTGCCAGAAAAATTACATTGTTGCAAAGGTGTTTTTCTTCTAAAAATTCAGGTAAATAGTTGTAAATAAAAAAAATATCTGGCTGTGTAACTGTAGCTGAAAAACTCATCTACCTAGAAGGATATGTTCCAGCTAGCCAAGCTGATGCCATTGGCAGAGTATTCAAGCAGTAAATTATACACACTGACATACTGCCTGTATTGAAACACTCATGTTGAGATGATAAAACCGTACAAAAAAGTACAACAAACAATCTGCCAATAAACCCTAAAATTCTAAACCTATAAAAAACAGGCAAAATCCATTTAGTCCCCCTCCACCTTTTGCATGGCATATTTCAAAATTCAAAATTTGTTCTCCAAATTAAGTAAGCATCCCTAAAAGCCCCCCTAGGTTGCCTCACCCTTTCGGACATACCCTTTTGACCAAACACTAAATGGTCTGGCGGGCCCATGCGCAAAATACGCATATGTCGGAAAGCTCTTGTTAAATTTCCAATTTAAGTAAGTAAGTGATGTTCAAGGCCAAGGGTCTTCATGTCTTACCCAGTGCATGCAGATAGGCGATATGCGAGTCCAAACTGGGATCTGAGCGCCGGTCAACACCATGCATGTCTTGTAGCTGTCTCTGTGTCTTGGAGAACCGGGAATCATCCAGTGTGAACAATTCTCGAAGTTCCCCCTTTGTGAAATACCTGGATTGAAAATAAACATCATCATATTATGATGAGACAGTTGCTGAAATATCTTAGTCTCTAATATTTCAGAAATACATAATTATGTTTCATCAAGACCTTGTTTCCTTGTACTTCCTGGTGACTGAATTTCACATACACACTGACAGATTATAACGTGTTTCATCTTCCCGAGGCAAGGGAGTTAACGGAATATAAAAGTCCAGTTTCCAGTCTTGCCGAACTAGGCTAGAATTATGGCGTTTTATTTTGACTGGACTAACGAGACTATGCATAGTCCAATCCAAATCTTGTATGGAATCGGGGCGGTCGGGTACCCTATTGGTTAAAGCGTTCGCTCGTCACACCGAAGACCCGGGTTCGATTCCCGACATGGGTACAATGTGTGAAGCCCATTTCTGGTGTCCCCCGCCGTGATATTGCTGGAATGTTGCTAAAAGCGGCGTAAAACCATATTCACTCACTCACTCACTTGTATGGAATCAACATCCTTGGAGATTTCGGGCAATTGGAGTATTTGTAAAGCAAGTGTACCATCAACACAGCTTCAAGAGATATTGTCCAAATCTTTTAATCAAGGCGCCCAGGTCATTTAAAGTACTACGTGAAGTAAGACGCATTTTATTACAATATAGATCTTGATTAATGATCAGATCGTCTTCACTGGGCGCCACCATTTTGTTTGAACCAAATGCAAGTGATATAAGAGGTGGAATCTGATTGGTCAATAGGAGGGACATAGAAGGGACATAACTCGTAATAGCCACTGGTTGTGTTACGATAGAACCCAGAAATTCCAGCCAAGTTCAGAAAGGGTGGAAACTTCTACAGTCAGTTAACTCCCTTGTCTCAGGATGATGAATGTTTGTAAAATTCGACACCAGATAATGTTTTTAGCTATAAGTGTTTACTCACATATCATCATTCACACTCAATACTGATAGTTTTTTTTGTTATTCAATACATATTTACTCCCTTGGGTCCAGTCTATTGGGTATTTTTAAGCCTATCAGTAGAACCTTTTAAATAATTCTTTAATAATGATTTTTCAGCTGACCTCTAAGTTGTACCTGTTCATGTGCTGCCCCGGGTCACATAAGAGAGTAAGTATAGTTTTACGCCGCCTTTAGCAATATTCCAGGAATATCACGGCGGCAGACACCAGAATTGGGCTTCACACATTGTACCTATGTCACAAATTGAACCCGGGTCTTCAGCGTGACAAGCGAACGCTTTAACCACTAGGCTACCTGGGTCACAACACCAATATACATTTCTAAGTACAAAAACATGGTTGTTCACTGCAGTAGAATTCATATATATACATGATGCATGCATTCGATCAGCAAATAAAGATCTGTTCACAAGCTGGAATGGCTACATTCGGTAATAACGCTCAGTGCTGTCAAAAATATATTTAAAAGACCTGGATTGGTTTGTAAATATGATGTTTAACGTCACACTCAGCAATATTCCATCAATATGACTGTGGTCTGTAAATAATGAAGTCTGGACCAGACAATCCATCATAATCCACGCAACTGGGATAGGATGACATGTATCAACCAAGTCAGCGAGCATAGTAGCCTTTTACAGCAAGCATGGGTTGATAAAGACCTATTCTAACCTACTGGTAAACAAGCTTGTATTAATACGCCTCCAGCAACAGAAACAATTACAAAAATGGTTAAAGAATGCAAAATGATTAAACAGAAACATCAGTTGACATATTATTAGAAATGTACAATACCTAGTTTGGTATGTCTGTAGATCCATGAGTGAAATAGAACAGTTGTTTTCATACTATTGGGTCTCTTACATTTTATGCTTGTTAGTACGCAAACAACTAAAAAATGATTACATAATGCTGATTTATTTTGTGTATTTTACGCAAACATGTGGAGCTCTGTTTTGAGGTTTTTCTAACCATAATTCTTGACTTCACTAAGGAAAACAGATCAATTCTTATGCAATAATGGCACAAGCAATCATGCTTTATATAAAACTCCTCTCTCTCCACTTAAATGCAAGGCCTTTTCAAGGCTTTTGGGGGGGAGTTTTTAGCGTTAGTCTGTCAATATACTTTTAAATCCAACACATTTTATAGTAGTTATAAAACCTAAAAAGCAGTAAGAACATCACATATTTTCCAACAGGATTTATTTTCATAACCCACAAATAAAATAAATTAAGTCTGTCATGAAATTTAACACTTGTTTAACAAGTATTTTATGTCACAAATGCAAGGTTTTCATGCTATTTTTGTGATTTTCAAGGCTTTTTAAGGTTGACACTAAAAACCAAGGCTTTACAAACCTTAAAATTTAAGGCCTTTTCAAGCCTGTACAAACTTTGTCATTATACCCAATTCTTGACAAGAAATATTAGGGTACAGTACACTATAGATTTCATAGCCTTGCAGGACCTTCTTGTTTCCTGTGGGGACGCTTGAAAGTAATTATTAGGGGTCGCCTGGACCCCTAGTTCTGTAAGCGAAGGTAAAAATGAGCCAAAAATATCGTAATCATATTTTTCAATATATCATTCAATGTTAGAAATTGGCACTAGTCCTGTAGTCCTTGCCAAATTGCCCAATAGTTAAGGTATCATAAGGACTAGTAGAAATTTGCCCATTTTAAGGGTTTTGCTATATGTTATCATTATAAGGATTAGTGGACTAAAAATGTTAGTTTCTACCAGTGTCATTTCGAGCTTAATCCAGAAAGCGAATAACAAAGTAACTGTCATCAAATTGTCTTCAGTTTTTCATAATAATACATATTCAGCTAATTATATCCCCCTGCATGCAATACACGTCCCTGTCTGTCAGACATTCAACTTTAACAATACCGTCATTACTGGTGACAATAGTCATTTATTTGATGATCCATTAAAGAAAGAGACAGCTCTGATAGCAACTAGTTGCTAAATGGCAACGTGAGATATTTACAAAAACATCAAAGATATATACAGTTACTTCTAAAGTGGACAAAGATGGCAACACAGAAACTGCTGCAAGTTCAATGGTCCAGCTTGTTTTGAAAGTAATTAGGACCTGGATGATAGAAACAATGGAAGTAATTAGCATATGGCCCACTGCAACCTGGAGACAAAGAAGCAATTAGCCATGACAGCTATACACAACTCAAGTACATGCATGGACAAGTTGACAGCTCAAAACAGTTTAACTTGTAACCCGAATTTTCCCAGCTAAAAACTCTTTCTCCATCTTTTTTCTGTACATGTCTGCGAGTTGTGTTTGACACTGTTTCAGCCACAGAGTTACGGGTTGTTTTAAATCCCATAACTTGAATTGTTTGACAGCCATTACTTAGAAGTTGATGGATGACAAAGAAGACACAATTTATGGATAACAACTTCTTAAAAAATTTTAAGGCAACATTTTGGTATAGATATTATAACGTTGTCAAGCAAAACAGTTTTGCTTGACTACGGTATAAGGATCTATACCGAAACGTCGCCTTTACAGTTGTAAAGAACTTGTTATCCATAAATTGTGTCTACTTTCACATCCAATAACTTTTTCTAAGTTACTGGACAAAATACAACATATCATTAGGTTATATATAAAAGCAATTTGTTACAAATTTTTCAGCGCTGTAAAATATTTATAACTTTTCCTATACAATTTAAACATATTATTTTCCGTAAATGAAATCTGAATTGGTATGTAAATACCACGCTGAGAAAACAATTTACAAGAGCTGGTAAATAAACATTAATGCTGAACATAATTAAATGAACAATGGATAAATTGAAATCGACAACCAATAGGTATAATAGGCGTCTTGGAGCGAGATATTGCAGTTTCAAAAATAATATTTCATACCAAGTTATTTTACTTTATTTACACTTTAAATCCTTTGCTCTTGGCAATAAAGTTGCTGACTGATTTACGAATGTCCATGTTGGTTATACATTTTCATGAAGAATTCAAGAAACAGGTACACCTTACTATAAGGTATATGGAAAGACATTCCAGTATTTACTATATATCACACTGTAATAGATACTAATGAAATGGCCTTTATATAATTGATACAAAAAATGGTTAATGTCATTAATGCTCATTGTTTATAAAATACTGATATAAAAGAAAAAAAGAAAAAAAAATTTCATGCATCAAAATGTTTCAAACTCTCAAAATCTCAACTAAAAATGATGACTTGTTATGACAATATTGACAAATGTATTTATTAAGTCCTCTTATTGTTTCAGTTTAATGTATTGGTAAGGTTGCACTTACATTTATCAAGCAAGTGATACAGTCACAGAATGTTTAAATCCATATGATAATCACATCTGCATTGACTTCAGATTCAAAAGCCACGTCAAGATAACACCGACGCTATGTTCATTTTACAATGATATAAAACAGAAAACTTAACCACAGGCTTGCTGCAATTTTTCTTTTGTATATATGTATATTGGTTATGCGTTATAATGGAGAGAAGTTATTATTTGGACATTAGTTGTCTGCGTACTATTCCCCTTTCCTGTATTAATATGAGGGAAATATATAGTTTAAACAGTATGTTGCTTTTTTTCCTATAAATATGAAACATCAATGCCTGAGATAAATCAGTCTTGATTATCTGCCAAAACAGATACCATTGGGCGTAAATGGCAATATAGTGGTGAAAATTAAGGGAATGGATAACTGAAGATCAGTGATGACACCAAGTGTTCGCATGTCGACACAAAGTGATCTTAATACCACTTTGTGACATAATATCCCGAAGATTTATTCTTTGCATAAGATGAATCTGTTTAAACTCCAAGAATTCAAATACAATATTTCTAAAAAATCATTAACATTTGCCCTTTAGGGCTAACTACGTGCACTTCAAGAGAAACAAATATTATTACCTCAGACAGACAAAATAAACAATGGAAAATTATATGACACAGCCATGGCCGAAGACTACAAATAAGAACAAGCAAGTTCAGTGTTTGCATCAGCCTTAATCCCATTGAAT